AGATTTTAGAGTTTCAGAATTAAAAATATAATTTAAAAATTCAGATTTAGATGTTTTCTTAAAATTTATATAAATTAATGCTTTTCAACTAATGATTAAAAATGTATCATCTAAAAATGGGTATAATTATCCCCGTTTATGCTGGTGTAATTTCGAATTGGTGTATTGATATATCGGTATGACTTAAATCTAATTCACTACATATTGATTAATAAGGATTTTTACATAATTTCCCAATATATAGGACAGCGACATACCAATTTGGTTATATCGGCTATATCTAATGCGATAACATTCGTATTTCACATGAAAATAATATAAGTTTTGCGCTTATAGTTATGTTATGTAACGATTATCTCAAAAAAAAAAAAAAAATTTACATTGATTTACATTTTCCCGATGTGTAAAAGAAATTCAATCGCGATTATAAATGAGACAACTAAAAGTATCAGAAATAATTTCTTCCTTAAAGGTTTTCAATGGCAATAGAAACACCATCACCTTTATTAACGGTTAATGTATGGACATCCTACATTATAATAAATTTTTCATTAGCGTTCTTTACTTATGTAGCTCGATGGCCTCCTAAAAGTTGGAATTTTTGGATTAATGTTGTTACAACCACAATTGGAACGGTATTCAATGAGTTCCCTTTGTATATTATCTCATTAAAAGTTTGGATGTGGTTTGCTGTAGTTATTATGGAAGCTTGGATTGTCGTTTCAATTAGTATGTAATCAATTGAACTCTATCTATTTGGATAAGTTAAATTATGTGACAAGTGTATCTGATTTTTCATCATTTTGTTCGTTATAGCCAAATCACCTTTAATACACTTTCTAGCGTTTACTTCAGAAATATTTACTATATTTATCTTGGCACATAATTTTTATAAGAATTATAAATCTCGTCGAATTGTGCATGCATATACTCATACATTTGAACATTATGGTCCCGAATTATCCAATATCACGTCGTAAGTTAATTATGAATTGTCGTTTTTGGTAACAATATGCTCAAATTAAATGTAACCTATTATGACTACCATAAATATTAATTGAAGTTATTTTTTGACCTTTTTTTAGAACAAATTTCTGGCTTCGTTTTATGTTACCATTATACCTTCCAACTAACGTAAAAGTGTTCCGAAATAGTAAGTGTCACACTTGTAAAAAAATAAAGGGGGCGGGGTGAGAAAAAAAATTCCAGTGGTAAGATTTGATATTTCCTTCCCTAACGAAATATATCTCTTTTACGCGTATGAAAGTTACATATGGAACATTACAAGAATTACAGGAAGTTGGTAAAGAAAATGCATCATATTTAAAGTTAGATATTTATGTACCAAAACACGTAAAAAAAGCTGATCGTCGTCCAATAATGCTCTTTATACATGGCGGTAGTTGGATAACAATGGATAAATCAATACCATTCCCACAACCATTTTATTTATCAAGTAATGGATGGATAGTGTGTTCAATTAATTATCGTTTAGCACCGAAAAATCCTTATCCTGCTTGTTTGATAGATTGTAAAAGAGCGTTAAGATGGATTAAAGAAAATATTGATTCATATGGGGGAGATCCAAATTTTATTGCGGTTTCAGGTGATTCGGCTGGTGGTCATTTGGCTGCTTTGATGTCTCTTACTATGAATGATAAATGTTATCAACCAGGATTTGAATATGCTGATACTAATGTACAAGCATGTGTTTGTATTAATGGTGTTTATGATGTCACAAATCAACATAATGCTTTCACTCCTTTATTCACCAAATGGTTTGTTAAGATAATTTGTGGTAAAAGCTTTGATGAGAATGGAAATGATGCTCGGGAAATGTTGGAGAATGCTTCTCCTGAAATTTTAGTTAAGAGAAAAGTTGATAATGATGAAAAAATCGTACCTTTCTTGGTATTTCAGTGAGTACATCTTACTAACATTTATTTGACAATATTGCAAAGACTTTGATTTGTTGAAAGGAAATTTTTCGTAGAATATCCTGAATTAATCTTCAATCTTTTTTTCACCTTTGTAGTGGAGACAATGACCAATTAGTAAATATAAAGTGTTGTAGAGAATTTATAAAAACTTTTCGTAAATATGCCCCTAAATCCGACCTAGTTTACATCGAATTTCCGGTAAGTAAACCAATATAAATTATAATTAATTAAATAATTCATTCTCTCGTTGACTTCTTCCATTTTGGTTTAGGGAGCGCACCATGCTTATCATAGCGTATCATCTCCACGTAACCATTATTCTTTGATAGCTATTTTACGTTTCTTAAATTGGGTTTATCATACTTCTTCAGGTTCGAATAATATTACAGATTTAAATGGAAAAAAAATATTATTTAAAGGTAAAGAAGAATAGTAAAAAATTTATTTTGATGAAATCTTTACTATACATAAAATCAACTTTGATCCATTACGTAAAATGCATCTAAAAATGGTAATACATTTAAGAATTTGAACAACTTTGGTTCTATAATCATAAAAAAGTATATCGTTCTTTATTATAACAATTGTCTTTTAAATCGATATGAAAATGAATAAGAAATTTATATAAAGAATAAATAATCATCTTTTCCCATATCTAGCTTTACTTGTTTTTTTTGGTAATATCTTTACCGGGAAACCAAGGGATTAATCGACTAGTATTTTTTCGATATAATTCATACATTGGATATTTATTCTTAGTAATGATTTCAGTTAAATGAGTGGTAATTTGAAATAATATGGTTAGGTTCAAAGTTCCAACGATTGTCCAATTCAAAATCCATTGTAATTTGGAAGATGAGGGTACCGCAGCGACGGAAAATAAGTAATAACTCCACCAAACTCCCATCTCACAAAAATAATTTGGGTGTCTATAAAAAAAAACATAATTAAACATCATTACTTCAACACATTCTAAAACAACCTTTTGAAAATTACCTTGAATAACGGAATAAGCCATGAATTAGAAATCCCAAAGAATAATCTCCTCCGAAAATCGTTGTTTCATTTAATAAGTTTTTATTGGCATTGGCAATTAATTTATACTTTTCGCTTTGAAATTTCCATTGCTGATCATCGGCAATCATTTCTCCTGCAAGAAATCCAACAAACATTATACTAGCAAATAAATCCCATAAGTTCAACGGTGATGTGGAGCCAGTGTACCAAACAACATAAGATGGAAATGTCATGGCCAATAAAAGAAAGCATTGACATAATGATGTAAATATAACATTTATAATTTCGAATATGCTCCAATGAATATGTTGCCTTAAGTATGCCCATCTACGGTTTACAACCAAGAAAGATATTTAAGTAAATGATATTAAGTCTAAAAGAAAGTAAATATATAAATTACCTATAATCTTCATTTTCCCATTTATAACCGCCTTTACGTGCGTAATTGTAAGTTAAACGCGCTCCCCAAATAGTAGTAAGCGAACCAAGTATGATTCCACGTGTATTCAAATGTCCGTGAAGAATAAAATGCCACGTAAAAAATACAGGGAGTATACTCCAGAGTCTATCAACCTTAATTGGATAAAGGAGAAATCATCAGATTAAATTAAAAGATAGATATACTGTATTTCCCCAGAAGAATTTTTTTCTATAATAAATTTGTCAGACATAATTATTTTTAACCTTTTCAATATTCTGACAATGGAATTCGATTCCTATATAGTCAATACTAAATTTAAACGACTAATAAACTGATCAAATTCTCTAGATTATATATGTAATGTAATATATCAAATAATCAAAGGGGGTTCTCTTCAATTCAAGTTGAAATTTTAACGCGTGTAATAGACCTGCTTCTCTCAAACAAACTCGGGTATATACCTGAGAAAAGTTCCTAGTAATAGAACTTAATAGCCAGGTCCAGAAAGCAAAAGCAAGACACAAAACGATAGCTGACACCAGTGGGTCAGAGTATAGATAAAATTCTTTTATCAACCAAACCAAGTCTTTAGTCTTATATGCTGAATCCCATTCGTTAAAATTCGTAACATTCTTGATCAAGTCATTAAAAAGTGGTTTAACATGATAAGCAAAAGTTGGGAAATCTGCCATGATGAAATGAATGGTGGGTTTCAAAAGAAAAAAAAAATACACAATTTAGAAAGAAAAGTAACCAAGGAAATAAAAATAAACACGTACTTTTTAGTGTTTATATTTAACGAAGTTTGTGTAATATTATTACATAAGCAACCTCACGTGCTGGATTCTCAGAAGTTTGGCGCAGTAAACTATATGTGACACCATATAAAACTTGTATAATTTATTATAAGAAAATCATTAGCAAAACCTCAAAAACAAAGTTACGAAGCCATTTGTTAAATTTAATATAAAATACCTAGAAACATTAAAGATGAGAAATTTAATGATAAATGCTTCGTGTCCATAATTCATAAAAACCAATTAATACCAAAATAATCGAGAAAGAAAAGTCAGTGTCTTGTTTTAATTTTTTACCTCTTCTATTCTCTGGAATTCAAACTATATGTATCCTCCTTATAATTTTGTTGGTGAGAGTGAGAAAGTTAGACGAAATTTTGTAGATATGGATGAGCCTTTGTTTATACCAAGGGGAAATCAAACTCTAATAATATCTGAATAGTTAATAAATTTTTTATTCACGTGTATGCTACACTATTCAATAGATTTATTTTTATGTAAATTATATGAAGCGATTGGGTTTAAATTTTCTAAAAGACAGATTTTATTGCATTTTGCTTAGTAGAATATTCAAATAGTGATGACACTACCCGAAATACATGTTTTCAGCTTATGAAATGTGTAATTATCAGTATTAATTTTCTAAAGATTATATAAATTCAGTAAATTCATATATATGATCATTTTTGTTACGAATTAAATGGCGAACTTTTGGTTAAAACACACAGGAAGATCGAAATCAATCGTGGGGCTATAACATCATATCTGCAAGGAATGGTTTTTTTTAAAAAAAAAAATATATATCTCTGCTTTTTCTCTTGCTCTTTATGAACTTCCTTGGCCTTTCATTGCTTGCATAACCCTTCCAAATTCAGAGATTCTTTGTGAAAAGCTGAGGATTGCATCTACAATCAACTTCCCTACACTCCAGATATCAACTTCACGATGATTTTGCTGAAATACTTCTGGAGCATGTTCCTCTGGAATAAGATGGGTTGTTGATTATTTGGATATCCATCAGCGTCTTCCCAGTATATAGTTTGTTCACCAGGTGGAGTACTTAGTCGAATAATATTTGACCAACTGATATCCTGACGGTAAAGAGGAGGTTTGCTCTCTTCGTCATACAAACCCGTAAACATTATAGATGAGAAAGCGATCCTTAGACCTATGATAAAAAATTAGTAAAAAATCAAATTTTACCAGCTAAAAAATGATTCGCTTACCAAGATCTTCATATCAACGCATTATCGTTTTTTAAAATTTGGGTTTACATCAATTTATTCAATAAATTTAACAACAAATGGTTAAGTCACTTGTTATATAGACAATTAATGAAATTTTTTGGGGGATAAATTAGAATTCCTTGTCGCTGTATTATAACTCATAGCAGTGTTGTTGTTATTAAATTCAAAATATATTTGAACATTTATGTATAAAAATATTAAGAAAATTTAAGGAATATTAATTGATTTTAATTTTCATCCAAATTATTTCGAACCTACTTTTGCGATTGTTGAAATTTTAAATCACTTTTGTGGCGCAGAAGAATCCGGATTTAATAACATAGAGTTTCGCTTGGCTTTCTGTAGATAAGACATATTCAATTCGAATATAGGAATTAAAAGGAAGATAGGTCTTTTAATTAGACGAATCAATGGATGGAATTTTTAAAAGTGAAAAACAGTTAATGTAACACAAAATATTCTAGGGATATTTTTAGATCACCATGAATGATTGACAATAGAAAATAATATTCATCATGATTACATACCAATTATGGTAAAACACGCGTTCGAATATTTGATCACTCTATAATTACCAATGAGGATTTGACTTTACCAAGACACTTGTATTTAGATTAACCAAAGTTCCTATTTGAGCGGTGCAAATAAAATGACTTCAAGTTCGAAAGAGATAGAAGAGGCGCCCACAAAAAAACAACAAAGCCAGGAGGATCAACAATTAGATCAGCGTCAACTTGAGCAGCAAGGAGAGGATCTACAACATTCTATAATTGCATTTCCACTTCCAGTTTCAACCTCAACAACACAACAAACCTTACCCTCTCAACCTCAACCTTCTCAACTACCACAAGAACAATTTTCAGGTTATTTAACAGATAACGTATGGTATGAAATATTTCGTCAACTGCATTGTGATCTAGGAGAATATCTTTACAGTTGTTTATTAGTGAATACACAATTTTTTCGTAATGCAGTACCATTTTTCTGGAGAGACGTGCAGATAACATATTTTAGTCAACTCTCTTCTTTTGTTCGTATTCTTGAGTCCGAAAATCAAACTTTACAATATGCAAGATATATTAGAACAATTTATATAACAGCTAGAACTCCACGTACACCAAATAAAACTCGTTCAGCTGAATTGGCAAATTTATTATATAAATTGGCTAGCATTGATGTTAATTGGAGGTTATTATCATTTATATTGGATTTAGATTGGAGAGATTGCGAAGAACCTACTATTTGGATTAATTTTTTTGCTAAATTTGGAAAACATTTGGAACTTGTTGCTTTACATGGTTCTTCCCCTTTTTTGAGTGACGCTTTATCTTTTTCAATAGGAGAATTTTGTCCTAACCTTAAAGTTCTTACTTTGGTAAATTACTTGTGTTCTATAAATTTCTTTTTTTTTTTAAAAAAAAAATAATAATAATATTTATCCATTTTAATTTTATTTAATATAGGAATCCCGATATTTTAACGGATATGGGATTCTTAATATAGCCGAAAAATGTCCTCTCACAGAATTAAGTATTTGGTGTCGTCAAGTAACAAGTTCTGTCATTTTCGTATGTATCTTATCATTTACCGAGAACTGTTTATTCCGAAAATTGATTTTTTATGTTTCCTTCTTTTTTTTTTTTAGTCAATTCTTCAAGGAAGATGTTCTCAAACGTTGCAAAAATTAACAATAAAAAACTGTGATCTTGATGATAAACCTTTGTTAAGTTTAATAACAACGCCAGGAGGATACGACGATGACGATATACCTAATGCAAGTAGCAATGAGAATATAACACGAACATCATATTCTTCTTCGAAAGACAATTCATCAAAAATATCAATATTACCAAAATTAAAATCATTTTCTTTTATACAATCTTATGCATTTTCATCTAATGCATTGACTTCTTCTGGTTTATTAAGATTATTGAGTACGTGTCCCAATTTGACAGAATTAACTTTGATAGTTTCAAATTCTTCAAAAATTGTTAATGATATTTCAATAGAAAAAATTATTAAAAGATTACCTTTAGATAGTTTTGAAATTGTCAATCCTTATAGTAATCAACTACCCTTTCATCATTTAGACCATTTTGATGTTACTATTGAAGGACTTAAAACGGCTATTAAACATAAACCTGATTTGAGACTAAGAGTTGGTGCTTTTGATAGTATGATATCCTAATATGATTGGAATTAAAAAGAAAGCTATTATTAGCTTTAAATATCAATTTATTTATTTTTAAAAAAAAGTTTGAAAAATTATTTATTATATTAATTTTTTTTATTTACATACATGTATCTCATTCATCATATTACATTCTTTTTTTTTTATGCAATTTACATCATTTTCACATAATACAAATAATACAAGTAATTCAATTAGCATTTAATAGAAAAAAAAAGTTATCGAATTAACAAATAAAAATTTTGGTATAAATTCTAGAATTATTATTATTTTATTAATAAAATTAATCTTAAACATTTAAATTATAGTCTATACTTTTTTACTATATTACTATATCAAATGATATTATATCTAGGTAATATATGTTAATAATTAAAAAGAACTGATACAATTAATTTCTTCAACAACAAACTCACCAAATTTATTGATTATTCTTATGAAGTCTTTGATATTGTTGTTGAATAGTTTTCTTCATATTCTTGTTTTTCCCCCAATTGTTTTTAAGAATCCTATAAGAAAATTTCAATTTCAATGTTAATTAAAATTATTAAAATTAAATTTGCAAGTCCATCTTATTAAAGTAAAAAACACATGATATATCATGTTATTTTACCTCATCCTTTGAATAGCAATAACAGCATTAACAACTCCACGGAACTTGACAAGTAAAGGAGAAGATTGTATGCAGGCAATTCGCGACGGATTATGGATATTCTGAATCAACAATAACGTAGCTTGTTCACTAAATATATTTGATTTGCAAGTTGTTACAAAGATTAATTCATGAAATGAAAAAAAAATCAAATTAAATTAGAAACTTAGAATATACCATGACTCAATACCACCAATAAGTAGCATTAAGAATTTTTTCTGATAACATAAATCGGCCCGGAAGCCAGATTCCCTATGACATTTAGCTTTAAGAAATTTTACTTCTTTAAAAAGAAGGTTACAATCATCAACGTGCTGCCTTTTTTCATCTTTATATTTTTGTTTAAAATAGTCATCCTTTTTACAATAAAAAAAAATAAATATAATTTAATAATAGTATTCATATAAATAAATAAAATGCATAAATTTCTTTTTTACCTCTTCGTTTTTCGAAGTTTTGTGTTGACTGTCAACTTCTTGATCAATCCTATTAAAATTAATAACAAAAAGTAAAACAAGTGTCTACATAATTTTTAACTTTAATTTGATGAACTTACATTTCTTTTCTTACAGCTTTGATCTGTGCATCAAGAACTTGCAAGTCATCTTTTAATTGTTTATTTTCTTCCATTATTTGGAAAATTTGTTCGTCATCACATGACTGCATGAATAAATATTTGAATTAATTTATAAAAAAATAAATTACTTACTGTAATATCAAAAAAATATATAATACTTACTGTAGACTTATTCTTTTCCAACTTGGTTACTTTAACCAAAAGCTCCCGATAACGTTCCTGTTCCGACTGTAATTGATCTTCGTAATCAGATAACTGTGTGTTCTTTTCTTGATGATCGCGACGTTCTGATTGCAATTGTTCGGTGATGTTTTCGATTTCAACTTCAAGTGCCTTCATATGCTCAATTTTAGCACGTAGATCTTCTTCCAGGGAATCCTTAATCTATTATAAATATATCAATAATTTTTATTAAAACGATGTAATCATTATGAATATATAATATATAATATCATAAATACTTGCTTCATTAGCGACTCTGTTTTGGTTTTTCAAGGAAGTTATTTCCTTAAGAGCGTTATTCTTAACCCTGTTTAACTGAACCTTTGATTCTTGCTCTAGTTTAAGAGCTGCCTCAAGATCAACGATTTTCTGATTTGCTTTCTCAACCGCAACATCTCTCTCTGAAAATAATATATCAATCAATTTATACAAAAGATCCATAAATAAAACGTAAAATTTCTTACGCTATTCACCTTTTTGTAAATTACGGATTTGTTTGTTTAGTTCCACAGCTGAAGCTTGCTTAGATTGGTATCTAACAGATTCCTTCTCTAAATTTTCAACTTTTTGTTGCAGTTCTGTTTTGTCTTTGGTTATGGCAGTTTTTTCTAGCGACAATGCCCTTTTTTCTGCACTTACAGATGAGATCTCATTATCCAATTCATGAATTTTGGAGGTTAATTTTTCGATTTCCTAAATAACAAATCAAAACATTATTTGATAAACAAAATAAAACATGAGAAGAAACAATTAATGATAATGTTAACAATAGAAACCTTCTGTAAGCCCTTGATTTCTTTCTGATGAGATTCTTTTAATACACGATTCTTTTTAGCGATTGATTCCTTTTCCTTCCGCCACGCATCTTGAAGCTTATTATGACCAGCTTCTATATCTGCCAATTGTTGTACTTTTGTATTTTTATTGGCTTCTTGTAGAGTTTTACGCTCCTTAGTCCAACGATGTTTCAAAGCTTCCAAATCAGCTTTATGAGTTTCGATTAAATCTGCCCAGTCTCTTTTCAATTTCTCATATTGTTGAACTTGTTCCTTAAGGGCTGCTTCAGACTTTTGATATTTTTCCTCAAATTTTTCTGCTTGAATTTTAAAATTCTGAAGTTGTTGTGAGGAACCATTTACCTGCGCTGTTAAACTTTCAATCCTTAATTTCATTTCTTTTTCTTTACTTGAACTTGATATCTTAAGATCCTTAAAAACTTCTCTTAAAGATGAATTGATATTAACTTCTTGTAGCCAAAGATTATAGAATTCCTCGCATTTAGTTAACAGCTTATATTTATCGTCGGAATCCGTTTTGCCCTGATCAACGTTCTTTAATTTAGCCAAAGTAGCCAGTGTAGCCCTTAATGACTTTACCTGTTCATCTTTCTGTTTAGTCAATTCAATATTGGCTTCATATTCTGCAATTATTTGAGTTTGGGTTACCACTAATTTTCGTAATTTTTCGATTTCTTTTTGATGATTATCAATTTCTTGAACAACTAAAATAGAGGCACTGCTATTTGAAATTACATGATCTTCAGATGTTAAAGTTGTTAATAACGAAATTACTTCTTTAATTTGTATTGATAATTGTAAACTATCCGTTGCCAATTCATGGCCATTTGTAATCAATACGTTGATTTGGTTCTTTGTCTCTGAATTACCATCCAAGAGTTTACGACTTGCCGTAAAATCTATAAGGATTTGACAAATAAATATGGCAGAATTAATAAAATCAGAGAAATCAATTTTTTAAATTACCTTTTAGCAGTTCTTGATGTGATTTAGAACATGCTTCAAACTTCTTTACATATTTTTCTAATGTAGGGGCCAATTCCTTAAATATATGAATACCATCTACTATTTCTGATTTATCCCGATCTTGATCTAATATTACGGATGCAAAGTTGTCGATCTGAGACACAAATTGCGCTGGTGACTTAAGCATATCATTTCCAGCTCTAATTATCGCATGTAAATCTTGACGTTTAATCTCAACCGTATCAGCCAAATTATTGTTTGTAGTATTAGAATATTTGCTAATTCGTGAATTAAATCGACTTTGTCTCTTTGAGGGTGTATCAGAAAGAGAAGCTTCTACTAGACGTTTCAAAAGACCAGCATTGTCTTCAATAACTTGATGCATATTTGCAGTTTGCTGATATAATCCTTCTAACAAGGATTGAACGTTCTGACCCGAAAATGTAGTGTCTTTTTGGTTAAGACTATTTTGAGATAGATTATTTTGTTGTGCGAAAACTCGTATAAGTTCATCCATATATTGAATAGTCTGGAGATTCTTTTTAAGAGTAGCATCAATATCTCCTTCCAACCTATTATTAAATTCAAAAAAAAATGGTTTCTATTATTTAATAAAACCAAATAATATTTTAACAAATACGTAAAAAAAATATTTTTACATAATACTACGATTAGATGCTCCGTTATTAAGATCTGACGTACTATCATCAGAGTTAAGACCACATCGGAAACATATTCCATTTTGTAATTGAGACTCAAGGTCAATGACATGTTGTTGTTTACGTATCAACTCATCTCTCAACATGACAATTGTTTTATCTATGCTTTGTATACATTCTTCCATGAAATGTATTTTTCCTCGGGCATCCTCAAGTTTTTGAGAAAGATTTTGAGCCGTAAACATTGCTTTCTCGAGGTCGAAATTCTTAGATTCCAGCTGTTTATGTAAATTGTCTACTTGAACTTTTAGTGCTTTCATATCAGGCTGGATTGACCTAAAACTAGTTCGACGAGGAGTAAAAGTTGAACGTCGATTTGCTGCAAGTTCACTATTACAAAAGAAGGAAAGGTCTTGTGATAAAGTTACATCCATGACCTGAATTTAATAAGTAATTAAAATTTTTTAAAAAGATATATTTAAAATTTAAGAATGTAAATTCATTAACTACATACCTTATTATCAGTATAAACCGAAGAGTCCATCAATTCACTAATGCCTTCAACGATCTCACCTCGAATTCTTTCACCGGGACTTAATAAAGTGGATTTGTTCGTCCTATCAAAATATTTGCTCTGTTCCTTCATTAATTCCTCCTCTCGCGACATCAAAATTCGCTTAAGTTCGGCATTTTGAAGCTTAAGTTCCTGGATTGTAGCAGTATTGACACTATCTAATGCTTTCTGTGCTGCCTCAGAAAGTTGATATCTCAACTTGCCATTTTCAACATTTGCTTTGTCAAGTTTATCTCGCATATCTTCAATCATTTGTTCATATTGAACAACTAATGAATTACCGCCTGAACTTATGGTACTGGATGATACGTTACCAGCATTTTGATCCTTATGATTGCGAACTTCCTGATAAGCATTTTGTAATTGTCCGATCATTAGATTTTTTGATTTCATCTCCAACTCATTTAACTCAAGCTTGGATTTGAGTTCTGCGATCTCAGCCTCCCGTTCCATCAACTGTTTTTTTGTTGTATCGGAAGACAGTCTTAATTTATCCAACTGTAATACTTGATCTTTTCGAGAAATTAGTTCAGCTTCGAGAGATGCACATTGAGTTCGAAGTGCCAAGACTTCACTTTCTAAAGAAACCAGTCTTTCTTCGTCTTCCGATCCCATATTTATGGGTCCATTACGATTATGTGAACCTTGAGTCGATTTGGACTGTAACTCTTCAAAATTTTTTACCAAGCCAGCCATTTCATTCAATTGAATTTCAAGTCGTTGGATTTTATCGTTAGCTGCAAGAAGTTCATCGAAAAGGCTAGAATTCTTTTTCTTAAGATTCTCGCTTACTTTTCGAAGATGTAATAGTATCTCTCTTGCTTTAGTAGCATCACTAGAATTATTACTTTTCGGTTCTAGTTCTTTAACTTCATCAAAGACATCTTTCAATTCTTGTAAATATTGTCCCATATACGCGATCTTCTGTTCCAATTCTTCATTTTGTGTGATAAGAGACTCTACATCATGTTCTCTTGCTTTAGCTTGGGATTCCAAACCATCTCTTTCTGCTTTCAATATTTCATTTTCTTCGAGCAACCTTGACATTTCTTCTGAATAATTAGAGCGAACCGCGGAGAGTTGGACTTTCTGTTCTTCCAAACGCTCCTGTGCAGAAGTGATTTTTTTTGCTGTTAAATCAATGTTTTCGGTGATATCATTCAGCCGAGACATCAATTTATCTTGTTCTAACGTCAAAGTATCCTTTCGGGATTGTAATTCACTTCTTTGATTTTCAAGATGTCTCTTTTGTTTTTCCAAGTTTCGATTTATTTCCCCGAGCGACTTAAAGCGAGATTCAAGATTTTTATTTTCTCTCTCGTAATCTATCATATATTCGGCACTTTGGCCGCGAGCGGAAGCTAATTGTTCGGTGAGCTGACCTACTTCCTCATCAAGCTCATTTATTTTATTATTAGTAACCTCTTTATGAGAAACATATTCGGTTTCTAATTGCTTGTAGTCGACCGTTAAACGGCTGACTTCGCTCGTAAGTTTCGTAGTAGTTTCAATCAGTTTTTCTCGTTCTAAATTGAACTTTGCGACTTTATTTTTTAATTCTTGATTTTCTTCTTCAGATACTTCCCGATCCTTTATTGCGGAAGAACAATCAACTGCCATTTTATGAAGACGTGTCTTGTAAGAATTAACTAGTTCTTCTCCGTCACGGCGTATTTCTTGAAGTTGTTTTTCTAATTTTTCAACAGTCTCAGAAGTAGGAAATGAATCTAAAGGCGTCGCTTGATTCTCTTCATTATTTGCGAGCATCTCCTCTCGGAGCAGCTCCTTTTCCGTTTCCAGGATTTCTAACTTTTCTTGAAGATCTTCGTTAGATATTTTTAATTGATGATTTGATTTTTTGCAACAATCCAACTCATTCCCAGCAGATTTTAGTTCTTTAAGAATAGCTACAACATAAGGATGGGATTCTATTGCATTACAAACAAAATCCCCACTTTCAGGAGCCATTTCTTCATCATAATCCTGAAAGCAGTACTCCTCATGGTCTATATTTTCCTCGAGATAATTTGCGTTGATTTTATCTAATTCATCGTCGGTATGCCTTTCATTGTCTTGTTGTTTGAAACTAGGAAGTTCATCTGCGGTGGAATCTTTTCCTTTATTATATGAAACATGTGCTCTGAAATTGGGTGAAGCAAGATCGTCTAACGCAAATAAAGGACTTTCAGAACTATTAATACTGTTAATGTTATTACCCAAGTTGCTTGTCATTTTTATTATAAATTAATAAACGAATGTGTTTTGGTTTGAGAGGAGGTTTTTGCTTTAAAAAAAAAAGTATTTTTCGAAGTAGATATGATTTTGTTACGAAAAGTTTCGTGGTTGACTAAAAAGTGCTTGTTTTAATAATGAAAAGTGATTTTTTTTTTTGTTTTTTTCGTGTTGCGAGAAGTTTTATTCCTGAATTTTTTGGTTGCTCAAAAATTCGTTTTGAGTAAACGCGTTTTTTTTTACAGTTTTTCAAGTCATTACAAGAGAAATTGAGAACATTTATTTTTTTTTAGATAAATTCCAAAAACTCGAGAATTGAATAACGATAAACAAACAAATGTATTGAGTCACATGTAAGGTTGAAAAAGTTCGCTTTTATGATTGGATAATCATGCACAAAATGTTACACCTTTCGTAAATAAATCGGATCTTACTATCTTACTCTGATCATTCGGGTCGAGAGTGAATATTAAGTTTAGCTAATAGTAAAAAAATAATGTGTCATTTTATTATTACATCATAAACTGAATATAAATAATGTCAATTAGTTACTTGATATATTAACTTTATTAAAAAATAATAAATGTATAAATAAATATTTTAGTTTTATTTGATTAAATAATCAATTTTTATATTTATTTATATATAACTACAATGGTGGTATATAGTGATATTGACGAAACCTAAAAAATATATTAATTTTATATTTATTCATATAAAAATATTAAAGAGATGAATCCTTTTGACGAAACTACAATTTTTCAAAAAAGAGTTTAGGCAGGTATCACTAGTGGTATATATATATATATAAAACTGAAATCCATCTATTTCAGATATGATTTATTATGCATAAAAATTTAATAAATAAACCATGCCCAATACTTAAATGTTGGGAGGATAATGGTATACAAATAGTGTCTGTGAAAGCATAGGTGGGGGTTTACTAATTTACCCCCAGGCTCTGATTGGCTGGTATAATTGAGATTAGTTAGGGTTAGGGTTAGGGCTTAGGTGATTTATCACCGGCGTGACATCGGTAGTGTTTCAATTTTTATTATTTGAAATTTTTTGGGTGTGATGTTTATTTGTCATCCCCACGATACGTAACAAATAACGGGTGGGGGGGGGGGGGGGGGGGGGTAAATTAGTGAAATCGCATAGGTGGTAGAATAAAAAATAGATCATGTGATCGATCACCTGAAATGCGCAGAAGATATTTGGTAAAATTCGATTTTAGTGCAATTGTTAAACGCGCCATGTTTTTTTCTCCTGAAAAGTAGGAATTTTTCATATCGGCCTAATAAATAAGCAGATAAGCAGTATATTAAATTTTCTTTTTTTTTTAAAAAAAAAATGTTTTATTAGCATAAGCTGTGCAATGGTCCTGATGATTTATTCCTAGAATGGCTAGGAATCATTCTGATTCAAATTTTTCGCAAAAATATTAATGCGAATTTACCTGCGGAAATCTAACATTTTTTATAAATGTCCTGCCTATATCCTTCCAATTCGACCTTACGATATGATCTACATATACCCCAAAAGAATGGAAGTTTGTTACATCGAACTGCGTCACGAACGGAAAGTTGACGAGAGCAACCTTTAATATATGTTGTAAATATATCGCTCAAAAAGTGGGGGTGGACTCAACTATCATTTATTAACTTGTAGATACACTTTATAATGTAGTTTATTCATGTACTTTATAGTAAAGATATCTTTGTAACGAATATTAGTGAAATAAAACAAACTCTTCTCTCATGCGAAGCCAAGCATTTACAAAAAAATAATTAATATTGATTATTGTTTAAACATGATGTGGGCTTGTGGGTTATGGGTAATGCGCTAACTTTTTTTGTCTTTAGGTACAGTCGCAAAGTCTAGATCTTAACATTTCTTTTTCAGAAATAGGGGTATGGTCATGATATCATATTCACAATTATTCCAGGCCTGTATTTCGACGCGGCTTCTTTTATTTTTACCATACGATTGTAAAACAACATATAAAAGTGACATTTCTAAAGAAGCGCCTTACACTTTTTTTCTCCTACAAGTGAAATTTTTGCATAATTCTAAGATAAACTGATATTTTTTTGATCGTAGTCTTCAGCGTCGCAATTGTAATTTTCGAGATGATAACCTAACAATGGATATGATCCAAAATATTTTTTCGAGGAATGTTTACATTTTGTGCAATTTTTGCCGTTGCTATCATCTTTTTTCGCAAAAATCTAATGGGATCACGAGATAATAATCTCGAAAGGACCATCTTAACATTAAGTAATGAGCTTCAAAAAATGTGTACGGAAGCTGAATGGAGAAATGATGCGACATCTCAAGGTAGGTCATTGTCTTCTTGACACTAAATTCGTTAGAAAAAAAAAATATCTGATATGCATTTATACTTAGCAGTAGCGTTAGTAGTAATATCGGTGGTATTGCGAAATAAAATAAAGTTTCGATTTATTATATTTTTAAAGTAATTAATAATATAACAAAGTCATATTATGTATTGGATGATATAATCTGGGATTCTATAACTCGAATTTTATAATAATTTCTTATCGATGATTCGATATATCAGCTAATATTAATAATGCTTCGGACTTATAAAACGCGTCCTTATAATAATCAAATTTTGAAGTTTAATCAGATTTAAAACGCGTATAAAAGTTTAATTTTAACCATATATAAACTCCAAAGAATCGTTTTTCTCATCGATTTACTTTTTTTAACATTTATTTTTTAATTCACAAAATAAAAAATGACAAGTCCTATCATTACGGATATTATGAACCTTCCTTTCGATGATATTGAAAAAGCAGGTCTTCTCAGTTTTTTCACTGACAGAGATGCGACTAAAGTAGAAGCGATTCTTTCAAAAATCACAAAAGACGAGATAAAGGTTGAATATTTAAGGAAATATGTCAAATCAAGTGGTAAGCCTTTGTGCTGTAGTAATTGGTCATGACACGTCACAATTTCTTATCCGGTAACTAACTTTGCCTTTTTGGTCTCCTAACCCAATTTAGATGAACTTCAAGGTAAGCCTTTGCGTCGTAATGATTGGTCAACACGAACATGACGCGCTAACCTTCTATCTCGTTTTACCGGTAACATTAAACATCCTGTTTTATCACTTTTGCAGGTCCTAATAAAAAGAGGCGCCGTTCAGAAAACTGGAAATTGCACACCGCCGCCGATAGCGTGTCTGTAGAACTGCCATCTTTAATAATTGATATGCTCACAGACACCCAATTCAAGCCTGATTCTCGTCCAGAATTTACCCAAATGTTGAATTCCATAAGAGCCGGAAGCCAAATTACGATCAAGAATCTTGGTCAACAACCAAAAAATTTTACAGAGGGCTACCAGGGCGAGCAGTTCTTCATTACTAAGCAGATGATGGACATTTGGGAGGAATTTGATGCTGACAGTAAGCATTCGATTAAAAAAGTCTTATCAGGCCCGGTTGGGGTAGGAAAATCATACATCGCTTGGTTTCTCGCGGCTAATGCGTATGCAAATAGCTGGCTCACGCTTTATGTCGCCGACGCCTCTGAACTAGACACCTACGATGAGAGAAAAACAGTAAAACAGATCTGCCAGCGTTTTTTTGCGCTTAATAAAGATATTTTAACTTCCACCGACTTTGAGCTGTTATTAGAATTCGTCAATTATTATGATCAAGATACTGATAATATTATAGGAACATGTTTTTCAACGATCTTTGCAGAATTACTTAAGACAATTTCTCGCAAAACTCTATTGATCATTGATGATCACGGGGCACTGTTTGATGGTGAAATTCCTGTACCTGATCGGTTACCATCTTTGGCACCTTTGAAGTATCTTACCTTTTGGGGTGAATCAATGAAAGGAACACGTGTTGTTTATACGGGCACTGCTCATGCACGTTTTGAAAAGGTTTACCTTAAAAACGGAATGCAGGATTGGGTTATCTATGTTGCCCCGATGCTACCAGAAATTTTCGAACAGTTGCTGATTGCAGTCTCCTCACGATTCCATTCAACTGTCCGTAATTATGTCTCTATTATTAAAGAAGAAGTGCTGAAGATAACCAACTGTGTACCGCGTGAGCTTAATGTTTTAGCCAGAATGATTGGAACCGGTCCACTTAGTCTAGATGAGGTCAGGGAAACAATGAAACGTTATGAAATTAACCGACGTTCACAATTTTATAATATTGCGAGAACCTATTATGACTCTCTTCCAACAATCTCCAAAAATGAAACTCGTCTGGCCCTCGCAGACATATTCCTACCTGGAAAAACTCGAAACACTTCACGATTTGAGTGGAAATTTTTGGACTTTGGATTAATTTATCGAATTAAAGATGTTAAAGATGAAAGTATAGAGCTTCACAAAATAATTTGTCCATCAGCAAAAGAAGCGCTATTAGATTTGTACAAAAACTGTCCGCTACCTGAAGCTTATCTTAACTCTCTTGCTCGGGACAATTTAGATGGTGCACAGTTTGAAGACATTTTATTTCAACAACTAATGAAACTTCCCAAGTTGGTGCTTAAAACAACAGATATTGCTGGGAAAAATGAGTTTGACTTAAGTTTGGATATTAAAGGATTTGATTTGCTCAAAAAATCATCCATAAGTTATGATAAGGATGTTCTAGTACGTTGTTATGTTGGATATCCACGTTATGATTTTATACTTGGATATATGTTCTTTCAAGTATCTATAAGCGACTTCGTTACACATAACACGGGCTATGCAAACATTGATCTCTCCTTTAATCAACGGGATAGTGATGGTAAAAATCAGATAGAAAATTATTTGGATGGGGCATTTGGTGGTATTCATAAGGCTGAGATCAATGAAACGACAGCATACATCAAGAACAAACCAAAAACACATAAAAAATTCGTGGTTTCAAAAAATGATAAGGCCTGTGATGACTTTAAAATTATCTATATTTGTGGAAGTCCTGGTAAAGTTAATCATATACGCAAGGTTGATGAATACCCAGAAGTGCTCCATATTTCTTATGATGAAATCAAATTGAAAATGTTTGGGCTTTCTTTATTTTCTAGCAAGTAATGCCTTAAAAAATTTGACTTAATAATACTAACTGGAACTCTCTTCATATTACGATAAAATAGAATATCAGATATTATTTGTTTTTTTTATGCATCCGATGACAATTGTACATAAATGTAATGTAGCAATGCTTATTAGTACACATTGAAAATAATAAATTTTTTAGCAATTCGTTAATGCTCGATAATTTAATTGTAAAAAGTACTTTCTACGAACAGTGCATTAGTGAATAAAGATTTCGCAGAACATGCTTGAATGTTTATGTACAATGTATAGTTTTATAGGTCACCTGGTATAATTTTAAATCATAGTAAAGAATCTGAAGATGTCTATCGTTGCAAGACAAAATCTTCAATGTCCATCATGCGAGACGAATCATAAAGAAAATATAAGCTGGTCATGTGTAGCACAGATTACGGATGACTGTCGATCAACATGTCATTCTGATTCGGCTAAATTATACCCGAACCCTGTGTATGATTGGCGATCTCATTCATGCTCTGTGGAACATCATTCTAAGCCTATCATATAAAAATGTAGCACAAAAACCGGCTAAATTAACTTCGCACATGTGATACTTTTTTAATATACATATTCTCATAAAGAATCGCTATAAATCGCTAAACTGTTATAATCGCAAAATGGGACTTGAATGAGGATGTAAAAGGAAAGAGTTTGTCGATATTAAATGATATTAGTAATAAATTTCATATGTTATGAAGGACTGGGTACTCCGCAATTTCTGAGATCTACTTTGTTAGCAAATTCCATATTTATCCCTTATTCCCGAATTTTACTTTATACATTACTATTGTTAGTATTAATGGGACAAAATTTGACTATTTACAGAAAATACAAGTAATTATTTGACGTGAGTATGGGAGAGTTTTCATTAGGCATTTGTTGATCATTTTATTAACCGGATGAGTCATTTTCTTACCATTACAGGCTAATAAAAATTGAATTTTTTGAGTTATAAATACTAAGAAATGGCTGAAATTACTCTTAATTGATTGTGAAAGAATTCCCTGAGGATATTTTCAATATTACTATTGATAAGAACAAAAACGTTCTTAGGCTTAAGGATAAGATCAAAGAAAAAATGTTGAATTCATTTCAGATTATCTATTAAAGTATGGTTTGTCAAGATGATAATAGGCTTAACCAACTTAGCGACCCTCATGTATCAGTAGAAAGTGTGCTAGGTGAAAAAGACATATATGAAACACAGCGTGTATTGCATAAGATCGAGCTATTTTTAAAGAATATAAATATAAATAATGATGATGTTCTCAAGGTAAACGTTTTAACTTTAAAGAACGTACATATTACATTGTAATTTTTATTAGCCTTATTAGTTTTACTAACAAATCCAAGTAACGAAAAGTGGTACTCTGATAAGGATATTGATCTTTTGGTAATCCATGAAATGGGCGATCTACATTACTTTCTTTCAGGTGGAATATTAAAACCTGTAAAAAAGAAGTCAGTTAAGGGTAATAAGCATGAAAACGAAATTTATGATGACGACAATGATGAGGAACCTGAGAATCCAACTTGTAATAATGATGGTAGTGATAGTGGAGGTGATACTCATTAATATAATTTATCATATAATTAACGATGGCTATAGGCGCTTAGCATATTTTGCAAATTTTATTATTTGTATTAGTTGATTCTTGGCTACGTTTTTTTTATTAAATAATGCTATATAAGGGTATATCTCTGGTATCACATTTTACAATTAATTTTTTACATGTATTGAGTGGTTTGTTTTGCTATATAAAATCGATTATATCATATAAAATGCTTTCTTGTCGAAAAGTCCAGCCTAGCTGATCGGCTAAATTCTTGCTGTAATACTAATCGGATATTTAGATTACAATCATATGGGTAGCTGTGTTTGTGAAAAGTCTATAAGATCATGATGTTAGAAATGGAACGAAATGAAATGAAAGGATAAGCAGATCGACTCAATTGTCACAGAATAATTTTTATTACTGTCAGTGTTAGCCAAAGACGTATAATCCTTAATTATTATTCCATTTTTGATGAGTTAATCAGATTTGTCATATTAACGAAATTTTTTCCCAAAGATCTTGGACTCACTGCAAATTATATAAAAAGGTGTTACCCCCAGTTAGTGAATCCATTTTCTGCCTTGTGTAAATACAAGCAAAAATCAAGCAAAAATATCAAAAACAAAAATTCTAATTAAGTTTAAACTTACCATAATTTATATCATTAATATTAACAATCAAACGAACTCCTATATTCTGCAAAGTAGCTTGTTGAAACGTAACATCACAATACTAACCAATTTCAACACACTTGTTATTTGCTGAGAAAATCACTGACGTATACAATAGACGCATCACGCTTCTCAATTAAATGTATCTTCCGGTAAATGAAATAATCACATGCCAATTTCCTGAAACTTGATGCAGTATTATAAAAAAATTAAGCAACAAAATTTCAAATTTCTTAATTATGAGGCGGAATTGAATGTTGTTAAAATGAATCGTAGTGGTAAGAAAATAGTGCATTGCTTATATTTTTTACTTTAGTATCAAAATTTCTTAAGTTCTATTACAGGAAATATTATTTTAAATAGTCTGTGTTGGGAGTGATATAGACAGATGAAAATTCTGTAGGTATATGGGTGGATAATTTATATCAGAAATTTAATGTAGTTAATAATATAACAAAGTCATATTATCATTATGTATTAGATGATATAATCTGCAATTCTATAATGATGACTCAAATTTTATAATAATTTCTTATCAATGATTTGATATTTGATACATCAGCTAATATTAATAATGCTTCAAACTTATAAAACACGTCCTTATAATAATCAAATTTTTGAAGTTTAATCAAATTTAAAACACGTACTTGATAAAAGTATAATTTTAACCATATTTTAACCATTAATAAACCTCTCCAAAGAATTGTTTTTCTCATTGATTACTTTTTTTAACATTTATTTTTTAACTCATAAAATAAAAAATATCAAGTCTTATCATTATGGATATTATGAACCTTTCTTTCGATGATATTGAAAAAGCAGGTCTACTCAGTTTTTTCACTGACAAAAATGCGACTAAAGTAGAACAATTCTTTCAAATATCATAAAAAATGAGATAAAAGTTGAATATTTAAGGAAATATATCAAATCAAGTGATAAGCCTTTGTGTTGTAGTAATTGGTTATGACATGTTACAATTTCTTGTCCAGTAACTAACTTTGCCTTTTTGGTCTCCTAATCCAATTTAGATGAACTTCAAGGTAAGCCTTTATGTCATAATAATTAGTCAACTCAAACGTGATATGCTAACCTTTTATAATTGTAATTTTATGTTTTTTTCTTACAAGTTACTAATTTTTGGGTACAACTTTTCAATGCAAAAATTATATTTCAGTTACCAGAGAACTGCAAAAATGACGAATTTAACTTTTTGAAAATGTATGTTACAGTTGAATAATTATATTTTACTAAATATTAGTATAACTGTCAACTCAATTGCATATTGAAGATTTCTATAAGATGCTTTCGATTTAGAAATGATCCAAGCCATAGTATAAACAGCATGAACTATTTCTTTAAGTTGTCGTCCATTGGTATCCACTAGAAGGTTGGTAAATTTTAAGGAGAATTTTAATTTGAGGTGAACCTCTTCGTTGGAAAGTACCAATGATTAGCAATAATATACATAAAATCACCGGTCTTAGCACAATATTTTGCTTTTTCCTTTATAGTAAGTTTTCCCTTTCTTTTATCTGATAAGAGAGCCTCTATCTGCTTTTAACTAAATGAGCGCCTATTATCAGTGCCTTTAGGATATGTTATACCATAATGAAACAACCACTGATTTGAAACTACCGTCAAAGCTGATGAATACACTTAGGATATTCGATTACTACAAAATTAGCATATATGGTACATCCAGGAATGAAATTTACTGGGACATTTTTAATAATTCTGAAAGATTCTGACAATAACTCTAAGATTATGTCTTACTTTTATATCAATTTCTAGCTTTGATCGTTTAGGGATATTCTGAGACATGATCAGAAATTAGCATCAGGATCAACTGTATCCGTCAGAATCACTATACGCTTAATTTTATATTTAATAGTAACAACATCTGTGGCAGATTTTTTTTTTAGACAAAGTCTATCTTCATAGGACCATTGATAAATTCATTATCTTCAGAATCAGCCGGTGTTTTAGAATTACCATTTTGCAGGTGATGAAGGATTGTAATAGTACCAAACTTTTCATTAAGCATCTTCTCAATAATTTTTTTAATAATTTTTTCTAAGCGGAATTGTTCATCCTGTATCGAGGTCTTTGAACTATGCTTTTTCTTCTTGGAAATAGGAACTGATGCTAAAGAAGGTATTTCTGTATCTTTTACCTTATGAGACTTACGAGTCTTTGATTTCTTCTTCTATAAGGAGGTAATAGTATTATGCTCTTTCTTTACTTTTTTTTACCGAAATATATTAACATTAATTTCAGCATCAGCATTAGCCTCAAACTCTAATTTAGAAGAAGAACTCTCAGAGCTAGAAGAGCTATTCTCAGACTCTGATGAAGAAGTATCATTATCAGAAGAATCTGAATCTGATTATTTGTTTACTTTAGCTAAATAGACTCGATTACTTTTAGATTTTTCTTCTTCTTAGACTTATTTTTTGATTTCTTTTGCTTTATTTTAGAAGATTTGCAGGTAGATTTATGGCCACTTTTATGCTGAGACTAAAGATGGTTTGCATAATTATTTTTAAAATTTTTAACTAGTTGCAACTTAAGTTGCAACACTTTGAGTTACAACTATTTATGAATTTTT